TTTTTTTTTTTTTTTTTTTTTTTTTTTTTTTTTTGTACTGCTAAAATTGGTTAACAGTTAAAGTTATTTTGCGGTTTAATTGCATGTCGATGAAAAAAGTTTACTTCTACTAAAATAGGCGGCTATATATGTTACAAAGATTTGGGATAAATCGCTGCCCACCAATAATCTGCATTAAGATTCTCAAAAATTGATATTGAATGCATAGAGATTATTGTCAAAAACTTCAAGGATTAAAAAAAAAAAAACAAATAAATTGGTCAATATAAGTGAAATATAATTAAATGGTTAGTTTTGTTGAAAATGTACTGTTTGGTAGTAATAATGATGATAAAAGTTGAATCCTTGAGCTAAGTACTGCTAGTGCAGCTGATAAAGTGATTATGACAAATTATTGGAATTTTGTTACTTCTACGCAATTTTATAACTTTAATTTATTCTCTACTTTCAAAAATTATTATTGGATGTTCAGTTTAGTCAAAAAAAAGAAGTTTTAAAAGGCTATCCTTAAAAAAGTAATGTAATTATTGAGAGTAGCAACAAAAGAACTTTTGTTTTCTAAAATAGAACAGTAAGCAATTTTCAAAAATTATTGCAAAGAAAAAAGCGATTACTGTATAAACAATAAAAAAAAAAGAAAAGGAAAAGTTTCAGGTGGTTTAATTTTAGACTGCTTGATTTTTGGGTGTAAGCAATTCAAATTTCAGAGGCATTTTTAAGTGACACTTTATTTACCTTGAAAACTTATTAAGTGAAACATTTGTGTTATTTACATTATCGATAGGTTTCATGTAACTTACTGCAATGATAATTGAGTACATTCCATCAGTGCTTTTTTCACCAATGCTTTAAAAACTAAATTTTTAAATTGTTTTTTTTTTCAAATTTTACAGTTAAAATCAGTTGATAATAGTAGAAATTACTGTTAATCACTATGAGTATTGGTGAAGTAATTTTTGTGGTATTAACCTTGTTTCAAGTTTTAAACTTACAATACATAGCACTGATCTGAGCGTCACAGTGTCAAATCAACAGATCAGCTGATGAGCAGTCGAGATTTTTTATTTACTGTCTAATACTGTTGAGAAAGAAATTTTATTTACTGTCTGATATTTAAAAAAAAAAAAGAAAAAAAAATTTTATTTTATTGTCTAATATCATGGCAAACAAAAAAAAATCAAACAGCTAGTTTTTACTGTTTAGCATTTTATAAACTGATAATTGCCAACTTTTTTTGAGGTTACAAATTAAGATTCTTTTAACTAAATCGTAATATCAGTTGGTTGTTGGTTGTAAAAAAATTTTTAGGCTTAGGCTTAGGCTTTTGTTATTTTTACAATACAGATTGAAAAAAAAAGCTATAACATCTCTAAATCTTAGCTCACTAAACACACATATCGTTCTTGTTTTACAGAAGAACTGATTAAAACTGCAATAGTCAAAATGTGGTTCACCAAAATTGGAAGATAATTCTTTGTTTTAAGCAAATGATTAAACAAGCGAGATTATTTTGAGTTTCTTTTTTGGCTTTTAACTGTTTTCCAGAAGCAAGGAAAATATATGTAATCTTTTTCTATTTTCTGATACTGAAATTTTAACAGCAAATAGAAATATTTTTCAGAAGGTTCTGATTCTAACAGATGAATAGAAAATTGAAATTAAGAGGTTCTTTTTTATCATTATTTTACTGAAAATGGTAATCAGGAAAAAATCTCTTAAAAATAGTCACATTTTTTGCTACTAAAATACCAAAAAAAAAAACTGAGCATAAAAGCGTGGCTGCAAATCAAAGATTCAACTGCTTAAACAATTGTTGGAAATCAAGCATTTCGTTTTGGATTCTGGCAACAGCTATAGTATATTTTGAGCATATTATACCTTTTCTGATGTTCATTTTTATAACATTTTTGTAATTTTTTCTAAGAAAATGTAGTTGTGCCAATAACAAAATATTTTTACAGTTAGTTTTTTCTATCTTTAGAATAAATTTGTTAGCAAAGATTACAAAATTTTTTTCATTTATCATTCAACATAAACAGCTTTTTGTCTTTTGCAATCAACTTCACTTCGACCTATTTAGTTATACAATTTTCTGACTGTTTCAAACGCCACTGTGAATTGAATCTATTTTTCAAATCTTTTCTTCACCTTTTTCTTTTGGCTCATTTTCAACACTTTCGTGGTTAATTATTTCTCGTCTTCTAAGATTTTGTAACATTTTGACGTTCTCAAAACTTCTGATTCTTCTTTGCATTTTTGTACTAAAGATTAACTGTAAAAATTTTTCTATAAAACAAAGAAACAACAATTTGCATTTCGCATTTAAATCAAGTGAATATTTTTGATTTTTTTTTTAAAGATGGGTGAAAACCTAGAAACTGTCTGGCAGACAAACAGTTTTTATTCAGAATTGAAATTGGTGTATTTAGAACGACTGGTTAAACCACTGGCCACAGTTATTTGATCAGCTAATGAATATAAACAAATTGTTGAGTGCAAAGTTGAGGGTAAAGTGGAAAACAGTAGGAGTGCATTTTGATGGCTTAAAAAAATTTTTTTCATAGCTGCAATTTGATTGTGTCGCATAGAAATCTAAAGACTTAAACAACTGGACTACCAGTCTAAAGTTCTTTGCTCTATGCACTTCAAAAATCATTTCCTTAATTACACTGTCTTCGTGAATAAAAAAAAAATAGTCACATTAACTGTCAGCGATTGGTACAGTGGTTAAAAACTTAGATCAGCGAAAAATGGGCGTTAACCACAGTTACATCTGGAAATTTTTAGAAGCTATTTTACGATTGTTCAGTGTCGGTTTATTTGTTAACTGCAAACTGGAAGAGGCAACAGACTAAAGAAGTAGTTCTTTCTTTCTTCTATTTTGCAAAATTAACTTTCAAAATAAGTTAGTGATAAGAAGCTGTCTAAAATTGGTTGGTTTTCACTATGACTGCCTTAAAAGTCCCTGTTAAATTTCTTTATTCAATAGTATTATTAATAGACAGATTACTGTTTAGGACTACACTACTTTATAGTGGTTCACGGTAATTTTGTCGGAAGATTTGAAGTATCTTCCAAAAACACTTATCGTTAGAGCAACAAGTAGAAAGTTCAGATTCTTTTTGAAGGTCACTTTTTTGATAACTTCTGGTTATCTTATTACCAGTTTCTGAACATCTAATATATGCATTACAGTTGCTGAACTATTATAAACAATTGTGAATACCGTTGTCCTTATCGTTATCTGCAGAAGTAAGATTAAGCAACTAAAAAATTTTTGAGAATTTTTTGATTTTTTTACCTTGTAAGTTTCAAGGAATAACAAAAAATTGCTTTCTTTATTTATGCAGCAAATAAAAAATGCATAGAAAAAAATAAGGTACGCTATTACTGAATTTTAATGACACCTTTCAGATTTACTGACTATGCAAACAAAAATCAAGCAGTTTTATAGATGAAAAGTGATTTGCATTTGAAAGAAAAGCTAAATTAGACGTGAAAAAAAATTCAGGAGAAAAATAATGAAATTTCTGAAGCTGCTTTGAGTTCTTCTAAAAGAGCTGATAGGAACCAATTTGAAGCTATTCATAAAACTTTTGCTGTTTAGAACTTCGGAGTAAAAATAGACTGAATGAAATTGATGCTGGTTTCCTGTTTATTTTAGACGATTATAATGAAGTAATGGCCAGTGTGAAACATCAGATTGACACAACGTGCACGGAAACTAGTAGAAGATTAGAAAATTTTGGATTCATAGTTAAGCTCAAGGCAGAAGAAATTTTGCAAAGCGCTGATTTAAGCGAAGGGGTTTCGGCAGTAAGCCCTTTGCTTTTAGTTTTCTCACTTTAAGCTTAACATCTCGCACAAAGGCATTTTTGTTCCGTTTTTTAGGTCTTCAAACTGTTCTGGTTAACTATTCGCAATAATTTGGTTGAAAACTATTCAGTTTGTTTGCGAAGAGCTGCATCAAAAAGTCATTAAGAAATTTTCACCTTAAATGAACCCTTTTAAAGATTTGAAGAACAAATTTTTGGAATGCACCTTAGCGGTTAAGTAGTAATTCTCTTTCTTTCCTTTTTTTTGCCAGGAGAATGAAATTATTTGAAGCAATTTTGTAACGATATTTGTGATTTGTGCTAAAAATTTTGGTGCTATATTTTAGCCTCTTATCAAGCCTAGAAGAATTTCACTCAGAATCAGTTATCAAAGCTTCCTGATGTAGCCAAAGAATAAACGACCTTCTTGGTTTTAAACAATGAGTATTTTATTGAGCTTATGTGCGTCAAGTAACTTTGTTAATTTTATTGTGCAAGAAATGGTTTATAAAGAAACGGTGGCAGGAAAGTTTGTTGTACTAATCAAATAATGTATTTAAACAAATCATTAATTAAAGTTCTCAAATTACTATCAACAGACTGAAGGTAAAAATAATATTTTCGACTTGTTTAGGACCGTTACGGTTTCTATGGTTGTAGTGCTGCAGCTTGGTCAGCACTTCGTTTCCAATAATAACCATAAAGGCCATAAGGATATCCATAATATCCGTAGCCACCATAGTATGGATAGCCGTAACCGTAGTATGGATAATACTAAAATCAAGCAGTGTACTTAGCAGAAACGAACAAAGTTTATTGACCAAAATGAAGAAAACACTTACTCCGCCATAATAGTATTGGGCACTAGATGGAACGAATGCAATCATGCAGCAAAGAAAAGCGATAAGAAGAAATCTAAAAAAGAAGAAGTTTAGTTTGACAAAACGTTTGGTTTTTAATGGTATAAATAAATATAGGTTAATCAGCGCACAGAGAAATGGCATCGGAAAATGAGGATGATTAAAAACTTCAAACGAAACGTACACTTGGCAGGAGTTCATGATGCTGGGAGATGTCTTTAGTAGATTACTGGATGAAGCAGTAAAATTAATTGATGGTAATTTGAAGCGAAAAGTGTCAGTATTTATAGCAGTTGAATAGTTGCACTTTAGAACTGCCAAGATTAAGTTTGACTAGTTTATAAAAATTCTTTTTTGTTTGTACTTGTTTGTGAACAAGCCTTTTGAAACACTAAAGATACATTGACAAGGTAGTAAAGAAGGAAAAAAAAAATAGTTGTTTATTTGTTTATCGTTTTGCTGCTATTTTTCTTCTATTGCATTATTTACTCAACAGTAAATAAAAAATGGATTTTTTTTTTTTTCAACTTACGAATTATGTAAAAGAATGTGATTTAGTCAAGCGAATTCACAACTATTGTTGATGATTCTCAGTAATGCTTTATTTTTTGCTTTTGTACTGCTTAGTATTAGTTGATGGTTTAAATGTATAATACGGGGTACCTAACAACCGTCTAACAACAACTTCTGAACAGCTTAAGTGAAGAAGAAAAAGTAGATTGGAAATTGCAGCATTCTTTTTTTGTTTCAATTTTACCAATAAACAGAAAGAATTGTTGGTACAACTGCTATATTTACTGCTACAGAGAAGTTTTCTTAAAAGTTTTGATGAACTCATTTCAAATACATTTTTTAAGCTTTTTTTAAAACTTTTTGAACAACTTTTCCATCTTAATTTTCAAAGAAGTATCGTTCTTTGTTGGTTTTGAAACCATCTTTATCGGTGCTCAGATTTTTAATGCTTCTTATTGAAACTAAATCTCAACAAATTAATTTAGTTTTTTAGCATTTAACTGACCAAAAATTAATTGTCAACTAACAAGTTCTAACATTTGTCTCAAACGCTTAAGATAATCATCAGTGTTAGATCAAATTCTATTTAGATGTACTTTTATTGGCGTATCAAAGCAGCTGCTTAATTGTTTGATAACTTATTGGAAATAAGTTCTATTAAAGTGAGATGACAGTGCTTTTATTTTTTTTGTTTTTCTTCTATCTTTATCGTTAACCACTTTAACCACTTTAATCCATAGCAGCAAATTGTCTCAGTAAAGTAGTCAACAAGTAAAAAACTTTGGCAAAATTTGATTGATAGCTGACAAAAATAGTCGCATAAAGGTTCGAGACTGTGCTAATATACTGTTTGATAGCAGCAACTTAAGTAATAAAAAAAAGTAACACACACAAATATTTGTCAAAATTTGGAAGTAAATTCAAATTCCAGTATTATTTGACCATTATTTTGCTCTAATTACAGTCAAATTTTATGCTAATTAATATCTGAGAGAGTTACTAAACTTTGTACATCACTTTAATTTTTAAAACATTCTGCTTTCTATACTTTTCAAATTATCTACGTTATTCCCGTTTTCTTCACAATTTTTTTTTTTCACTAGCAGCTCAGTTGCTTTAACGCAACAATTTTGCAAGCAGTAAAATCGGCTCAACAGCAACACTAATAATTACTGAGAAAAGTTTGACAGAAACAGGTTTCAAAGATTTTTTAATGTTAATAAAAGTCAAGTAAAATCATTTGTACAAACAGACATCTGTTCTATTTTTTGCTCAAAAACACTTAAAAATCAAACTGTCGATACTTATTACTGTTTAGTTAACCAGGAATAAAAATTAACGATTAGAACGGTTATTATGCTCAAGAAACGAAGTGAAAAATTTTCACAACTGTTCACAAATTGTTTTTTTTTTCTTGTATCACCTGATACATTTTCGTTGAATTAAACATTTCTGAGCAGTAAAGTTTCATTTTTTATATATTTTAAAAGAACCAGTAGACTACAGTAAAGGAACTTCTAAGTTCCAAATTGGTAGCGGTATTGCAAGTTCTGCTTAGATCCTTTTTAGGAATCAATGCGTTTCCACTTCAACTGTACCGGCATGGTATTGCTCATCCGTGGAGAATTCTTTGTTCACCAAAGCGCATCGATCACGGTGTTCTAATTGTTGGCTATGGGACCGAGGGAGACAAGCCATATTGGATCATAAAGAACAGTTGGGGTACTCGTTGGGGTGAAGAAGGATATTTCAGACTGTATCGAGGACAAAACGTTTGCGGAGTTCAGGAGATGCCTACCAGTGCTATTATTAACTGAAAAATTCTGTTGTGAACCTGAAACTTAGGGAACAGTTGCTGTCTATTTGTAACCTTTGACGTTTTTTTTGCTATCAAGTGTTTCCTTCTAGTTTTCTGGAACTGTAATTGAGTTAATCTGATAACTCTGTATCTTCATCACTGCTAAAGTTTTTGTTCAAAATGCAACTGTTTTAGTAGATGTTATTAGTAATATAACGTCTGCCATGGTGTCATATTTAAATTATGCCAGATGCTGCAAAGCGATAACTGTTGCATTTCTAAAGATGAAAGTTTGACGAGGAAAAGTGAA